AGATGCCCTCTTCAAATTGTCCGCCAATTTCTTCATTTTTGAAAGATCTTTTGACGTCCAAATCCCTGTGAATGATTGATTGGCAAAACTACAATAGCCATCAGACAGTGGATGTCTGCTCTTCATTTTAAAGTGCCATTTTCTTCTTTCTTAACCATGGAAACATGTCATCACTCATCATACGGAGATACTTCACTTTATTCCTACTTTGAGGAGATTATAAAAAAGAGAAGCTGTAATTCTGCAAGCAAACATGTGGTCCCTTTTGATCTCTATGTCCTCTTTAATCTCTCCTGGAACTATAACTGTCAAGCCGGACACAAAAGGCCTACCCCCCTTTTCTCCTCTTCAAATCAGAATTAATGAGATGAGATTCTTCCAGCGCATCACCCGCACACATCAGGGGCAGACTGGCCGTGCCTGTCAAAGGGACTCCTAAATTAAGATGCATGAATATAGCCCCCATTTTTCTCTCTTTTGCCCGGCACTCCCCCGGCATCAGGAGACATTAAGGGAGCGCTCCATCTTCTTCTTCTTTCCCCCCTAAACCAACCCAATGTATAGCTGGAGGACCTTCTCAGTGATGGTGAACAAGGGGCGAGGATCAAAGCTCTCTCTCTCTCTGGAGCCGTCAACCAAATTGGAGCTGTCATCTTTTAAGTTGCCCCCCTTAAACTACTCCACTCCAAAGTGAGCATTGCAGTGGAGCTTCTAAATCAACCTACATTGGTACAAGAAATGAGATTGATGAGGCATTTTCATTCCTCCTTCCCTCTCTCGCTCTCTCTCTCCCTCTCTCTTCAGAAAAAGGGGGGCGTTTGGTCTCCTATTTGTGGCTGGATGCTTCCTCCCATTGTACTGCATGTCTATTTTTTCTTTCATTTCTTCCCATTTCAACCATGCCTCCCCCTTTATTGGCAGTCCAGTAGAAAATAGATCAGTAACAACTCTAATGTTAGCTGACAGATTTCTCTCATTCTCTTGACTGCACTCTGCCCTTGCTTTCCATATCTATCTGTCTCTGTCTAAATACATGTCTGACTGGTCCGTCTGCATCCACAGACTTTCTGTTTCATTTCTACCCCACCTCTCCACGATATGCAACCGTATCCTTATACCTTCCGCAGATCTCTTCACATTAAGCAACATTTGGGCAAGTTTTGTATCAATCAATTCAACCTTTGGATTGGTCGGATGAATGAAAGACGGAAGAGAGGAGAGAAGAAATGGGGAGTGAAGAAAAGACGCTGAGAATAGCCCTGAATTCCCGGTGGACTGATGTTGCAGGTTATTCTCCCTTTAAGTCCCCTTGTCCCCTCCTGTCATTGTTACCTCTTCAATGAATTTGTTCTGATCTGGTCTGAAAAGAGGGAGGGCATACAACCATACCAACACAATGCCTCATGATGCGACATTGTTCATGGAATGCTAACTCTCTAGGTGGTAGTTGGTCTAGTCTACGACAGACCGTCTAAAAAAAAGGTACCCTGATGATGGCTCAGTGGTATTACAACCGAAGGTTTCTGGTTCGCTACCGACTAGAATGACAATAGAACCGCACTAACATAATGTCTCATGATACAACAATTTTTATGGAATTCTACCCCAGCGGGTGGTAGTTAGTCTCATCCTGAATGGACCATCTCAAAATAATGACCATACAAATGGCTCAGTGGTAGAGCATTGGTGTTACAACCGAAGGTTTCTGGTTCTCTACCGACTAGAACGACAATAGAACCGCACTAACATAATGTCTCATGATACAACAATGTTCATGGAATTCTACCCCAGCGGGTGGTAGTTAGTCTCATCCTGAATGGACCATCTCAAAATAACGACCATACGAATGGCTCAGTTGTAGAGCATTGGTGTTACAACCGAAGGTTTCCGGTTCGGTACCGAGTCAAAGGACAATAGAACCGCACCAACACAGTGTCTCAGGATACAACCTTGTTCATGGAATGATACCCCAACGGGTGGTAGTTAGTCTCATCCTAAATGGAGCGTCTCAAAATAACAACCATACATAAGGCTCAGTGGTAGAGCAATGGTCTTACAACGGGAAGGTCCTGGGTTCGGTACAAAGTAGAAGGGCATAAATCCAAACCAACACAATGTCTGATGATGCGACATTGTTCATGGAATGCTACCACAATGGGTGGTAGTTAGTGCCATTTTAGATAGACAGACAGACGGACAGACAGACAGAATTGTCACCAATTGCACAAATTGATGGCATTCTTTTTTCCTTTACTTTGAAGAAATATTCAGTCTCCCCACAAGTTTGTCTTGTCTATCCATCACTAAATATATCATCCTCTCATTATTATAAACAAACATGTTTCTACCAAGTTTCGCTGTCATATTTCATAGATATAAAGATTATAAAAAATATTGAGATTTAAAATAAATTGTGAAGATCACTTCTGACAAAACCTTGATGACAGAAAATGAAAGTCTAACAAATTTGTCAATATTATTTTATGACAAATCAGGATCAAATATCAAAGATCTAGCAAGTAAAGCACTTAAACAAAAAGTGATACATTTATTGGCATTGTTATTTATATTCTTCCTCTCTCCGACCAAGGCCAGTTGCTAAACATTTCTTGTCAAGCAACAGTAAACAATGATAACAAACTTTTCCCATCATGTCCTACTCAATTCGCTGAGTATCGAGCTGCAAATTTCACCCATCAACTTTCACAAGAAAATCAAATTGGTGATGATCATAATGACGTGAAGATAAGGAAAGACTTGGGAACATGCCATGTCAGTGATCTCCCCTCCTTGATTTTAGAAAAAAGATGAAAAAATAGAAAATGAAAAGAGACAGGAGGGTTGGAGAAAAAAAAGGGCCTGAAAGAGTGTCAACGATGACTTTATAGAAGTATCCATTAGAGCTATCTCCTGTTACTTATTTGATGTCTGAAAGCACACTACAAGACCTGTCAAAACTAACAAACATTGGAGTCAAGCCCGCTGAGTATCCAGTGGCAAATGTCTACCAAGTGCCCGGGATCCTCTATCTTTCTTTCTTGTGACTTTCTAGTTACGCTGTTTCATGTAGCGGGCCGGGGTAATTAGCGCAGGAAGCGCCGCAATGCAGTCATGGCGTGTAAAGGAAGAGGTTTCATCACAGGTGTATCGGGATGAGTCGGCCAAAACACGATCCCTGACCTAGCAGAACCTTGGCAAGGTTTAGTGGTTGCTAATGAGAGGGTGCAACGTCACCTTTTCTCCCTACCTGCCCGATTGGCCCCTGGTTTACGCTAGAATTATCATTATTCACAGCCCCATGACCTGACCTGTGTTATCAAACCTTGACAAAGAAAGCTAAGGTTTGATGGCTCATTGTTTGAAAATCACACTGGCATCATATATAGGAATTCGAATGAAGCTGCTGCTAAATGAAAACCATTGGCATTCCTTACATTTCTCTAATTCTGATTATAAAAATTTGTTTAATACTAAAAACTACCACAACCTTTTCCTTGCCCTGAGCTGAAAATAAGTCCCCTAATCCTCCTGCTCCTGTTATAATTCTTCCCCACCTTCTTTAACAAATTCAATGAATCATCCAGAGAGAGGGAGAAGAGCTTTATCACACATATGTTTAGAACATATCGTCGCTGTTTTCACGAAGTGACGGTAGTGAAAAAAATTGCATTCACTTTGCGTTACGATTTTTCTCACTACCGTCACTTTGTGAAAATAGGGACGATATACCCTTCTGGCTCTCATTAGATGAAATTATAGTCGATTTCAAACAACACCATGAAAACAGCTACAAAGACTATTTGTTAAACTTATCAAATCATAATACAAAACATTGCTCTTTCAGTACAGACTGCGACAAATGCATGGTTAGAAATAGTTTTCAAGCTCTCAAAATAGAAACTAATACCATGTAATGTATAGTTTCTGCAAGTAATTCACCAGAGAGCTTCTCACAAAACTCTTCATTTTTATATCCAGTTTAAGTTTTTTTGTAAGCTGATTAAAACTTCAAAAAGTCACATCGCCGGTAATGGAAACCTCAAACAAAATCATCTTTCTGCCCAGGACTTCAAAAGAGGAATTAAGTGCAGCCATGGCATGATTCATGTAGCCAATGTAAACAGAACAAAATTAAATTTCAATTACACAAAGTAATGTAAAAGTTTACTCTGCCTGTTCTTTTGACAGGAGAAAGGCTCGTCATCTTTCGCGGAGAATTACTCCCTTTTTGTTGAACCAGGAAAAGAGCCATTTTCTTGTTTGAATTCATATTACTTTCGTTCACCGAAGTCAACAGAATTCTCAGTTAATATCAAAATGGGTTTTAGCTGTCATGATTTTGACATGCAATCATGATTAAATGGTTTCAGAGATTTGGTTATCAAATCAGGCAGCTCAAACTCATAACGGTTGTGTTTTTAGCTGGAAATCTGTGGAAGTAGACTGCAAAACTGAAACATTGCACGCACATCCCCCCCGCGAACAAAAGAAAATGTAGCCTTATTGACCAGTGGAAATTAAACTGGGTAATATGTGAACATGTAGTCTACTGAAAACTTACAGGGTAAAGGAAATTACATGAAGTAGTGGGGAAAATGGCATCCCCCAATTTACAAACAAATATCTTTGTAAAATATCTTTGTAAAAAATATGTGTCGAGAATATCAAAAACATAAACTATATTACCAACAAATTATAACTCTAAAATACTTTTTAACAGCACCAGGATCAGTAGAAGTACCCTCAGATCAGTTAGATGAATAAAAATGTTTTGAACAAATAACATAATGATGTATCAAAAAGAGACCCCTAGAACAAACAAGTTTCAAGAAATTTGTCATATATCCTTTTGAAATGAGAACCATATAAATCTTAGTGTTGCAGTCAGCATAGGCATCAATGCCGACAAAAAAGCAGCGCCAATATAAATTTCACTCCAGCTACGCAGCTGAGAAAGGAAACAAAAATGGAAATTTCTTTATAAAAATACTCTTGCTCACCTGATCCATGGGGCTTCTGGATTCACTGTGGTTGTCTGATCCCCCATCTGTTGGTGACGCTGCCCCTGTTTTGATAGCCCCGATGCCCTCTCTGTCCTCTATGACCAGATCTATGGGCATCTTGCCTTTCAAACAGTTGATATACCGATGGCAGAAATTGTCACATAGTTCATGTACCTGTGAGAGAAAGGGAGAACATGACGTTAGAAATCATATCCATAATCAGGAATTACAAATTGGTTGTGCCAAAATTTTGAAAATATGTTTCGACAAAAATCATTATACCTGTAAATCATTAAAAAGAGCCCCTGTTAAAAAAAAAATTCATCCAAGGCAGAAAACTTTACAATTGTTTTGTCTGCATGTTTGTCGACAGAGAAAAACAAACTTTTATGAACTTTATATATTATTTATTATATAATAACAACGAATGAATGAATGATGTTTTCTGTGAAAGCATTGAATTTTAGGCTATGGCAAGTTTGGCAAGAGTCTTAAATATACACTCTTCAACAACAAAAAAGGCATGTAATATAACAAGGGAATGGAGAAGTGTCCAACTTATTGGAAAATTATATGCTTTTCTATGAAATCTACAGAAAATTCTTACAAAATCCTTTAAAAGGTATGTGGGGAGAAAATCTTCATCACTTATTTAGTATTTCACAGCCTGCAGGTACCTCCATTTATATCCTGGTTTATCTCTTATTTTATGACCAGCACTCTGATATTCCAAACAATTCAATTATTCCACACAGATATAATTGTAAACGTGACAAATAGATTTTGCTAAAATCTTTTCTACCAACTCTTCATATCACTTAAATATTACTAGTCTTCTTTTGAAACCCTTAAAAGCATATTTCAAATCATTGAAAACAGTTTGTTCTAGTATAATAACAGCTTTTATAGACAAAGATATATTTTTCAACATATTGAAATGTGCTTGTTAAAATTTCATACATGGAAAAATTGTCATGTATATTTTCAACATTTCATTAATTTCAAGTTATTCCACAGAATAACCATTCATTTTAACTTGAATATCTGTCATGTTTGAAGTCACATCTCTCCTAGCTCTCTAATTAAAAATACAGAAGTAATGTCTAAACACAATTTTCATAATAAAAGGAAAATAGCAACGAATGAACTTAGACATACTGAAGTTTTTCATATGCACTCACACATACACAAACAAAATAATAACGTAGTGTTAAGAGAGGATTATTAGTATTATCTCGGTGGGAGACAATCCGTTTATAAGATACAATTTGTTGAAAACGAAAAAATTGCAACTCAAACTCTCTAGAAAGAGGATAATCTCTTTATGGTTTCGCATTTGTATCCATATAATTATAATAAGTTTGTAAGCGCCTTAAAGATAGAGACCCTATCAGCCACCGGATACTAAAAAAAATCTGTTCATTAAAGTGGTTGATTTCACTTGTATCAGAGTTTAAATTCCACAGATTTAAGATCGGTAATAACAAATGTAGCACTTGATTCTATCACTTTGTTTGACTATAAATTTAAATGAATTATTTTTGTTCACTTAAGTATTTTCATCACAGTCTGCTTTCTTGATAATCATATACATATGGAATTGAATACAACCACGTTCTCAATACAATCACATTCTAAATTATATATATATATATAAATGTCTCATTTCCTTGTTTCTTTCATTCCGTCTTCGAAAGCGGCAGGGTAGGGGACATATTGAACTAGTAAACACTACCCCTCCCTCCTTGCCCTGTAACATGTTTACAAAATAACAACCAAAATAAAGCTTTACAGTTACTGTTTCTTTGATAGACTAACGACTACTGACCACATAACCATGCCCTTATAAAACGTTTGCCGAGCCAAATAAAACATGAGGAAAACGCCTCGATGCTTCATTGCTTGGCCCTTTAAAAGTAAAGTTCCTGTAGTAGGTACAACAATGGCAGTTAAATGTAACCAATATGCCTTTTGTTGAAGTTAGAGGAGTTGCATCTTAGGGCTTATTTTCTGCATGTCTTCTCCCTTTCTTCTCTCAACAGGGGGGCCATGAATAGGTCCAGTTACCCATATTGATCAATTTGATACCTGGGATCTATTCATATGTCATGATAACCCTCCGTAACCCTCGCTATTTGTCTGACTCCTATTCATCAATACTAACCACAGTTCCCCATTCTTTCTTTATTCTCTCTTTCTCCTCTTCTAATTTCTCTTCCTCTCTCTCTCTCTCTTTCTCTTATACCTCTTTCTCTCTTACATCATCTTTACTCTTTCCCTCTATGTCTCTCCGTTCAACATTCACTCTTTCCTGTTCTTTTCTCATTCGTCTCTTTCTTCTCTTTCCTCTCTTTCCTTTTCTTCCTCTCTACATTTCCTTTTCTCCTTCTCTCAAGACACACCCACACATCAACACCATTATATATATATATATATATATATATATATATATACACACACCTCAAATCAGCTAGTTAGATCTACAAGGACGTTAACTAATAAGCACTTCAAATAAAATTAAAGCCCTTCTGGCTCTCAACAGACAACATCAACATAACACAATGCACATCTGCATCTAACTGGCGATTGTCTGATGGAGGAATATATCTTCAAGTCCGTCGCCCCCTCTCTCTCCGCATTTGAGCGTCTTCTTATTCTTCCTCTTTGCATGCTAACGGTATCGGTCCAAACAGATTAAGGGACTAAAAAGCAAAGGAGGGTTATGGATCACATACAGAAGGGGACAATAGTCACTACCCCTTGCACCCCATCCAGTGGCTTCTTAAGCACTGACCTCAAAGACAAACAATTTGCTGGGGTAAAAGAGCCAAGGTATAGATGAATAGCTCTCATTACTCGCTATTCATAACACCCCGTCTCGCGTCTAGACTCCTGCCAATTTTCTCCAGATAATAGATTCTCCCCCTATTTATCCCTGAGAGCTTAATGATAAACACCCTGGGACTTTCTATGGCCAGCTCTGAAATCGACTCTCACTGATCCGGACCTCGAAGCTCACGATACTTGCCCCCATGGCCCATGCATGCATGTAGTGAGCCATGTTGCATGCAGTGGGACCCTGCCACGATCACCTTTGTCGGACAGACGATTGCGGCTTGGGCTGTGTTTGCGTGTGTGGTTAATGTGAGAGTTGGAAGGGCTACATGAGTATGTGTACAGAATGAAAGTGTCGGAGGGAGGGTCGGCAGGCCGCCTCGTATATATATAATAATGTAAGCACCGGGTATGTTGACACAGCACAAACGGTAAGCCATTGACGGCCATGTGCTGTGTCCAGTGTTTCACACCTAGGTGTCTTATGTACATTTCAGATTATCCCCCATCTAACAAGTTATCAATGGCCAGTGTGTATTGACGGAGGTGTATCTATCCATTATTTGCACATCCATTTACCACCTAGATGGTGTTACAAGCAGGGCAGATTATCACTTTCACCTCGAGTACTTATTTAGTTTGCTGCTACAAAAGTGCTAGCTCCAAGAATTGCCCTTGATACCGTTTCAACCCAGTAAAAATGCATCCTCCAAACTTTCCCTTGCTGGTAATCCATCCTCTGTTATGAGAAGCAGGACTTTGCTTCTGAGTTCTGGGCACATGTATTTTATTGCAATTTTTGTTCAAAGGCACATAAAGAAAGCATGAATAATAATTTTTAATACAATTTATTCAATTCGACAGGTCCCCGCTGTCTTCAAATGTTGTTAACCCCCTATTTTAAATGTATGTTGAAAATTGGTATAAAAGTTTAAATGGGAGCGAGATAGGGTGGTGAAAAACCTCATTTTTGGTTTTAAATTACCCTTTGGTTATTATAATTTTTTTTCTGCAATGACCGATATTCTTTCCTCATTTTTTTTAATAAATTTTTTTTCTCAAAACTCTTCATTGATATTTTCCCTTACAATTTTGGATAAATAAAAAATCAAACAGTTTTACCATGGTAAAATGCTGAATGGCAAATAAACAAACCTTTAAACAGACTGAGAAATTTGAAATAAACTTAGATAATCAGACAAGGAATGTATCTGAAACTGAATTTTACTAAAGCAACTGACACTTTAAGTCAGTTTTTAATACTCGCTTCCCCATCTGTTTGAAATAAAAACGATTGCTAACTTCAGATACCCTCCTTTTTACTTCTATCTCTTGTAAACCCCTTCAATGCTCGGAGGGAGAATACAATAGAAACCTTTGAAATAGAGAAAGCTTACAATCGTCCTATGCGGGCACAAACACAATACACCTTCTTTCCAAAGGGGCATTCATAAAAAGAGAGAAAGAAAGAAAAAGCTGGTATCAAATATGCTGCCCCATTATGGCAGCGCCAAACGCAAATGATCCAGAAAATCACAATGAAATACATGATATATATGCGTAAGTCCCGTGAAAACGCATTAGAAACCTCAAACTGGGTCTGCTCATTCTTTAAGGTCTGAAAAGAAAAGGGCATGAATAGAAAAACAGAAATAACCAAAGCGCTGGTAAAGAATGAGAGAGAGAGAGAGGGAGAATTATGTAGAATAGGGGATAAAAATCCATTTTTCAGAGGAATAATGATTACCAAGGTGATGGGATGACACACGCAGGCTTAGGCAGGGGGATGATTGAATGCTTTTCTTTACAATTTGAATTTTCAACAAGGGGTTGTGTTATAGTCCTCTCCCATTCAAAAACCTCCCCTTGTTCCGTTTCATTCTTCCTCTCTCTCTCTCTCTGGGCTCCCTCCATGTATGGTGGAATATTGAAACTTTATTCAACTCCAGCCGCAATAGCGCATAGAGCATTAAAAGGCATTTAATGGTGGCAGAGAGAGGTCAAAGCCGCACAAAGGCGGGCGCGAACCCGGTTCGAGGTAATGTCACTGGCTACCAAGGGGAGCGTAGAAGTCATTGACATCTGAAAAGAAAAGACTGTCATATCACATGCTGTAACAAGTCATTCACCATGCAGAAGGGACCTTTTTCTTTTCTCTTCTTCTTTTTTCCTCGCTATTGTGCTGGGTTCTGACAGGTCAATGGGAGGCTTTAACCACCACTGAACTTCAGCATCATCACTATTTTTTTTTTGTGCAGTTTTTTTTCTCTTTCACGATTTCTGGTGTCTGTATAGAATATATATTTGACCCATTTTTACACAGCTCTAAACCAGTCAAC